CTTCGGGTTCATCTTTATCTGCTTGCGTGTTACTGGTGGAAGATGATGCTGCTGCTGCAGCTTCTGCTGCTTCAGCCTCTTGCTTACGCTTACGATGTTCATAGTTTACCAAACGTTGGCCAACCAAATATTTATCCACTTTTATGGCTACATACAACTTTTTGAATTGTTTAATCTCAAAGTAAATGTATGCAATTACCACTACAATGATAAAGAATACGGGATAGACGACGCGCGAGATTTCTAGGCGCGTCACAGAATTTTTAAAGAATATGGGCAAAATGGAGTGTGCAATTACGTATGGTATAGCAAGCGCCAAACCGAAGCATGTGATCACGGGGGTGGCCAACTCACGTATGAGGAATTTCAAATCGATATCACGCAAACCATCACGATATGCGCGATCGAGTGCTCGTTTCAAGTGCCAATCGGGTCCCATTAAAGTCAAAGCAATAGCGATTTTTGTGTAAAGCACACCCAACGCCCAGTCTTGCCACAAAAAGTGTATGGGCGTTTGATAGAAGGGTACGCGCAGCGGTATCACCACCACCAGCTCGAGCAGTAGCCCAAACAAAAGTGGTATAACGCCTAACATGAGCACAAAAATGAGTACAGGCAGTGCGTAAGAGGCGCCAACGCGCAGCCAATGCTTAATCTTATCCATGACTGCAGCACGCCCTTGAGGCAGCAAGTTCACAGCGATGGCAATACCGCGTGAAATAATCCAGCAGAGATAAGTGCCCAAGGCAGCCGTATAGAGCTCGTGTGGACGCGGTGATACCTCTGGCGCCTGGGCAACTACTTGATTTGTGAAATGGCCGCCAACAGACCACAATGCCATCACTTGACGGCCAATCCAAACCGGCACCGTCAATGTAACAACCGAGGCAATTACCAGCGAAACGCACATGAAAAACAGCAGACCACACAAGCGTAAGGGGAATAACGTTGGCCGATCATATGGTTGAAAACCGACTGGTACATCGCGTTGCATAATGGCCTGATGCACGGCACCCAAGTTATGTTCGCGCGGCATAGGCATCGCAGGCGCAGGTCCCCGCATAAAACGCTGTGCATTGAAGGCGTTTCCTGCCGCTTCTGGTTGTGCAGCAGCAGCTGGCGGATTGTTGGCATTTTGCTGCGGCGCTGCATCATTGTCGGCATCGGGTGCATCTGCAGCAGCACCTCGAGCTGCGCCATTAGCTGCATTTGCATTACCATCGGCGGCAGGCTGTTCAGAACCGAGCAAATAACTGCGTATGCCCAGCAACCAGGAAACACAAACACACCATATGCGAAGTAAACCTTTCAGCCAGATGCGTGTATGCGATTGTTCGAAGAAGCCGGGAAGAATTATCTGCAATAAGAGCAAAATGTGATTTAGTTATTGAAAACCTTTTTATACCAGCGAATACTTACCTGTAGCAGTAGTAGCTGTAAACTGAGTTCATTGACTTCAGAGTCTCCGGATAGTGTGTATGGAAGAAATGAAGGCCAGATAGTTTTTAAAATGCGTATCGGTAACCAAAGCATCAATAGAACAGCAGAACCAAAAATCATGGCAGAGGCAATAAGACGGCGTACATGGCGGAGTATTGGTAAATGTATCATTTCCTAAAGAAAAATGTGAGTTCGATTTAAAGTTGTGTCCATGACAAGAATCGAAGTTATATCTTCATTATGGCACTTACTTGTATTGGACTGAAATCTGGATCGTTTAAGTTGCGTAGGAACCAGAGTACACCGGGCCGCAAAACTTCTCTCAGTAGTGAAATGAAAGCGGCAAAGTAGTAAACATACACCATGCCGAACATCCAATGGACAAAGAGCGAAGTGCCAGGTGCTGCCTTAAAACTTACTTTGCGGTCCTTAATGCTGGCATCGAATAGAGGCAACGAGCATATATCCAACCACCAGCCGCAAACCAATGGCAGCACACCGATTTCCACAACGGATAGCAGCGACACCTTTACCACTATGTAGCAGAGGCCAATAACCCAACGCACGCGCCGCATGCGGAAAAGACGTGCAAAGAAGTGTAATATGACCAATGTTAGACCAATGAAGCAGTAGCCAAAGAGTGTAGTAATGAGTCCATGGAAATGTAATAGTGGTTTATCCGGTTGCAGCAAGTCCAGGGAGCTTAATATAAAATTGCCAATGCAGTATGGACAAAACGCAAAAGTGACAATGAACAGCGTATTCAATGAGATAATCCAAAAGACGTGTTCAAGAAAAATTAGTGAGCCATCCAAACCAAGCAGTCGTTCCCAAGTCAGTTCTTCAGCTGCGCGATCCCACTCCATTGGATTCCAGTTAGGTTCATCGTTGTCATTATCATTTTCAGCAGCTCCACCACCAGCTGCAGCTGGACCAGCTTGAGCTGCGCCAACGTCTTCGCCTGCACCATTGCCGTTATTACCAGCGCCTGGCAGTGGTTGCGGCCTTGGTCCGAATTCTAGCGGTATTTCTCCTTCTTCCTCAGCTGGATTAACAGCAGCTGGTGCAGCATTGTTCATTGGCATGTCAATCGGTGCGTCTTCATTGTCACCATCGTTATCTCTATTGGGTTGTAAATTAGCTTCAGCGTCATCTGCAGCGCGTGCGGCATCAGCGTCAACACCGTCTCGAGCTCTGTCACCTTGTCCGTCATTCACCCCTCCACCATCACCGTCAACTGCACCTATTCCAACCACTGGCTGCTGCTGTTCCTCACCATCATTTACTGCTGCTGGTGCATCATCGCGTTCTAACCAATCCGGGCCGCCACCGTGCAATATCTGCTCGCGTAGCCAAACTAAGCCGATAAATGAAAGCAATGTACACGTGACTACAAAGCAGCCGCGGAAAGCATCCGAAGCCAAGTTGTCCGTAGAAAATACGTCAAACGGTACAGACAGTATCAGCTCAAAGGAAGAAGCACGAAATAGGTAGCGGTATGTACGGTATGCGGATAAGGGAACGATGCCGAACCAAGCCAAACCAACCAATGAATAATGGAACCATGATTTAGCTGCCTTGGCAACAGCTGATAATAAGCCACCTGCCACGTCGCGTAGAGGCAACACGCGTGGCATATCCGGCGAGTAGATCGGTTGGAAGCTGAAGCGATGACCGCAAAGTTCGCAATACTCTTTATGCGAATAACGCATCCATTGCATTAAGCAGTCTTGATGTATATACTTAATGCTGCCCGTACAGATACATGGATAAAACAGTGGCCGATCCGATTGTGCCTCGCAACGGCACACGCGACAAATATCTTGCGAATTATCATCCATGACGCCAATTCAGGTTAACCAATGTTAATTTTTATTCCATTACAAATTGTACATCGCCAAACATGCGGATATTTTCCACCAACCTTTTACCGAGGAGTCTCGAATAATTTACTGCCTTTGCTATTGTAGGGCACACGTCAATGGCTTTGTTTTGCGAGTTCAGCACTTGTCTTGTGCTCGACTTTGGTCAACTTCAATCTTGTTTAGATAATATCTGTAACAAATTTTATTACCCAAGTTCTTATTGCTTCAATTAATGCTCACTTTTTGATGTTTTTTGCCTTTTTCCTGCAAAATTTTTCAATAATTGAATGGTAAATTTTTTTACGTGTGAAAATAATCGAGCAGCTGCAATTTTCAGTATAGCCAACCGTAATAAGTAAACCAAAATTTATGACAGGTCGGTGTTGCCAGGTGTTCGAAGCAAACTGTGTTGCATAGAGCCCTATTGCAAAAACTTAAAAAAATATTATACCTTGGTTATAATGCACGTGCGAATCGTAACAAAACGAGGCGAATTCGTAAGGAGCTATTGATTTTAGATGCTTCCGTTTTGCATTGCGTTCAAGTGCATTATACTCGTTTGATTTCATTACCCATACAATAAATAATTAAGTGACAGTTCACTCCGTTCCGTTACTTCCATTATAATCCAGGCATTAGTCTGAGGAAGTCGCCATTAACGAACAGTCGTCAGAATAAGAGGTAAACGAGCCTCCCTCTAGTGGTTGAGTGAGCCTTGATATGTAAAAATTACAGTAGCGGGGAAAGGACACCACCCTATGGGACCCCTGTTTAATTTTCTTCGGTTTGCTGGTTTTGTCGACCACTCATATGATTCGTTGGAGTCCATGTGTCTTCTAGTAGCGTGGAGTAACTGACGATGTCAAATGCCTGTTGATGTACTGTGCGCTTACGGATGCTGATCCCTCGGTGGGCTGAGGTGGCTCGCATAGCACATAGGGAGTAGCAAGACTTCAGGTGTCTTCCCTACCGGGGAAAGGAGATATATCGGACGATAAGACTCTCCCTTGTTCGACGGTTTCCCTGGTTTGAGGAGTGGGTCCACCTAGGGACACGCCATTGAAACGAACGTATCGATATAGTACTCATTTAAAATATCGCTTTAAAAATATCGGGTACCCATTAATATCGGAATAAAAAGACTCGATACTTCAAATACCGATACCAAGATACCAAAAATGAATCTGAATATACCCTGTAGCAAATCAAACTGGTTCAGAACCAGCGCCGAACTAACTTGATAAGGGATGGTACTGGTTCTTCAGCAATTCCAAATAAATGCTTTCAACTGTCTTTTTTAACATGGCGATGTCCTACGAAGTGGCAATTGCCCCCTTTGCAAAACTTTTGAGCTCGTTCTGAACTGGTTCCATTTTCCAGATTGCGTTTTATTTAATTTTTATTTATTTTTTATTTTATCTATGTTAAATGTCATATTTTAAGCGTCACGCAACGATTTATTTATGAAATCTGAATCGAGAAGTGAAAATTTGTGCATTTACCGAAGTTTCAAATGTCCCGCTCTATAGCCGTTTTACACTAGTTCAGAGATAGTTCTGAAATTTGTAGGGCGGAACTACATAGCGCTTTGCCAGACTGTCTTTAAATTTTACTGCAGGGTAGGTCTCGTATGTAGGCCGCTGTGGTGTAGTGGATAGAACTGCGTTAACCTACGAGTATATTTCCGCAGTGAAAAACAGCTTCTCTTAAAAATACAATTGCCGTTCAGAGTCGACGTAAAACTGTGGAGACTACATTTGTGACACAACATAAAGGCGCACGCGACAAATCGGATGAGAAGCTCGGCCAAGCACTAACATATTGTGTAAGGCCAATATATGATTATTATTATAATTACACGTAGATGTTGAGGTGTTAACTTAAAACATCGGAACGCCACAAGCAATCCGAACTATAGTACAATTATATCGGGAAGAATTGTTAAAAACATTGTCCTTGTAATTTGAGTTTATGACATTCGATACGAGGGTTCTAATACTCGATTCCAAAAAATATTGGCCCGTAGTCATAGTCAAAATAAAGTTGACTTTAAAGTTAGTTGCAGCTTTTTTGACAGATATCCCATTGAAAATTATGTCAAAAAGCTGCAACTAACTTTAAAGTCGACTTTATTTTGACTATGACTACGGGCCATTGTTTTAAAACTATCGAGTATAAAATATCGGTATCGAATGACAAAAGTATCAATATAGTATCGTATCGTATCGAAATTCGTGTCCCTAGGTCCACCATTCCTTTCTTCCAGATGTCCGGAACGATACGCCTTGGCGGACTTCGGCCGCGCTTGGGGTTTATATCCCTTACTAAGCAGAATTCTCCTTTCTGTGTTGCCTGACAAGTGGTCAAGTGTATATAACATTTATTGTACACATGAATCTCCAAGATGGCGTGGGGGTGATATCAAATATTTTTGCGCAGAACTTTTTTATACGTAGTCGTCCTTCGATTTTTTCCGTTTTGAAGAGGGTTGCCTGGAGTCGGGGGAGGAAGAAAAGCATGTCATTGAATTCTCTCGTCTTTGCTCTTTCAAGGTGGAAAGATTAACGGTGCCCCCCCGTATTTTTTTTGTATCAGCCTCGAACTAACCGATGCTTTTCTTAATCCAATGTTCGAATTTGCTTAAAACAAACGAATACGCAAGTGAAAATATTGATTTTTGGAGATTTACGTTCTTTGGATTTACTTTCTTTGGTATTACGGAACGAAAGCTCTGTCGATTCAAGCAAAACATGTATATGTAGACTTCCACAATAAAAAATCTCACTTGTCATGTTTTAATTTTTTTGGCTGGCAGCATTGCCGGCGTTCACAACAGCTGTTCACTTTTCTGAAGGAAATCGTTGGGCGCAGATAGCAATTTTTTCTGAGATTTGCTAAAAAATTGAACGCAGTTGCTTTTTCCGGCTCTTATAGTATTTAAAATTTTTTTTGTTTAGATAAAGAATTTAATTTCAAAATTTTCAGTCATCTAAAATGTATCTTACTAAATTGAATAACGTTGGTCGCCGACTGGTTCCACTGGTGCTGCGGTCAACGCAGAGTACAACTCGCGCTATTAGCACCACCATAGCAAAGGCAGAAATATTTCAGGTGCAAAGTGCTGAAGATTTCGAAAGTAAAGTTAAAAAGAGTGACAAGCCAGTAATAGTGGATTTTTTTGCAACGTAAGTATAAACGAATTTCATTATTATATAACCTAGAATCATTTTATCATTTCATCTTGTGAAATAGATGGTGCAACCCATGTAAAATGTTGACTCCACGCATTGAAACGGTCGTTGGTGAAAAAGCTGGTGCAATAAATTTGGCTAAAGTAGACATTGATGAGCACAGTGATTTGGCACTTGATTATGATGTTGGCGCTGTACCAGTCTTGCTGGTAATGAAGGAAGGCAAAGTGATAAATCGTATGGTCGGTTTGCAGGATACCGACAAGATTCGCGCGTGGATTGATAAAGCCGTGGAAGAAGCCAAATAATTTGCGAACAACAGCTGAAGGAGATTGGTGTACAAGTTTGTGGTTCCATCCCCCCCAAAGAACAGTGTTTGCAATTGAATAAAAGAATTATCAGATTCGAGTATTGCCGATTACGTTGAACCTTGTTAAATATAAATTAAATTAATGCGCTTTATTAACGGAATTTTTACAAAATTCAGTTTGTAATGGTGGCACATTATCCCCAATCATTTTGGTATTTGAAGATGATGGCGCTTAGACGAACCTCAGCACCGGACTGGTAATGTATAACCCAAACTTTTCGTACAAAAGAATGCATTTTTTGGTGCGGTTCACATTTCTACTATATTTATGCTTATTAAACTAAATAGAGTACCACCCGGGTGTTCCAGGACGTTTTTTATTGCGGTCGAGGAAGCGCTTAAAACCTTGTTTCGAGTCATCTAAAGATTTTTCTTCTGCCTTCTTTTGCTCCTCTTTCGTTTCAAACAAATCGGGGAATGTAAACTCTTCGTTTCTGGGCTGAATAAGAAATAATGTATAAGATACGGCTTAAAACATGTGTGCGCATTGAAATACTCACTAGAGTTACATAAGCAATCTTAACGTCGTCTCCCTTGGTCACATAGCCATGTACTTGATCGCGTCTCGTTTTTCCCAATTCAATACGTGTGCGTACGTCCACAACTGGTAATTTATAAATTTTCTCCAGATAATTTTGTACATCATATTTGGTCATCTGCATGGACACTGAAAAGGTGGCGACGTTCTTTGGCTGTTCCTCCGCTGGCCGAATCAATTTCATCCAGAAATTTGGCAGGAATATACGTAGCTGTGGGTTACCGCGTTGATAAATAGGATACCAACGCGTAGACATTTTTAAATATTCTGTCAATTAATTAGCAAAAATAAATTAATATAAATCCCTACCGGGAGCGGTAGAGCAATTTATAGGATTTTTGACAGCTCAATTCGCGCGCTATCTGCTGGCGAACCGTACAAATTGAAAGCCAACATAAAAAACGAACAGAGCTAAATTTGTTTATTTACGTTTTGTGATAAGAGATTCGGCGTCCAAATACAATTATTTTTTAATTAAGCCTGGATATCTAAATGATAAGGATAATTTACACATAAAATATGTAAGTACATTTTGCAATTATTTTTATCAATACCCTGTGTTTTGTGTATCTTTCTATAAAAACAGTGTAGCACGTGCTTGCTTCTATCAGCTGTTCAAAAGATTAATTGACAATTAGGTGTTTTGGAAGAGTTCATCGAAAATGGCCAAGATTGTAAAGAAGAAATCAAAATCCAAGCCCAATAAAAAACTTACACGAAAGGAACTGCGTAAGCAAAAGCTGGTAATCAAGAAAGAAAACAAGAGATTGTTCTTCTCGAATAAAACAAAAGGAGCTACCTTAGTGGCAGAAGCAAAGATAACCGCGACCAATGCCCAGCATTCGAAGAAGGCAAAGAAGACCAAACCAAAAAAATCTAACACAAATGTAACACCGGAAGATATACCAATAGAAGAATTACTCTCGGGAAAAGTAGATTCAGATAACGATGAATCTATCGCCTCAGATTTCTCCGACGACGAAGTGGACGCACGTTTACCAGCGAAAGTAGCGAAACGTGAACCGCCACCACACGAAGTAAAAGGAAAGAAGAAAAAGCAGCAGCAACCCACACGTCCCGATCCGGAAGAGCAGCGTAAACGCGTGTTGAAGCAGCAAAAAGATTTGGAAAATGTTGCACGGAAGCAACGCATGAAGCAGCTTAAGCTGGAAAATGAGGAAGAGGATCGATTAATATCGAAATTAGAAAAAAAGCTAAAACTCAACAAAACGAAAGACAAAAATCGTTTGGTACGCAAAATGTTTAGCGATGGCTTAGATTATGCGTTGGAATTCTGTTTGGATGATGAAGAAGAGAAACGTAAACGTGAATTAAAAGAAAAACGAAAAGAGGAGCACCAAAGGCAGCATGATAGTGGTTGGAGTGATGAAGAGGAGTTTGGGCTTGAAGATGGCGAGGATGAGGACTCTGTGGGTGTAGGCACGGATGCTGATGAAGAGCAGAGTGAAGACGAAATGGAAAGTGCATACAGTGATGAAGGCAGCGAAGGGGAAGAACGCGAGCGGCAGATTGAAAATAACGAAGAGCAGTGTAAGTAGTATAACTTATTACTAACCAAATGTACAAAAACATATGCTTGTTTAAAATTTCTGCAGTTAAGGAAGATATTTATGGCAGAAAGCGAGATAAAGAAGGCAACATTATAACAGAAGATACTGCCGAGGAAAACTCTGCTACAGATGCTCAGCAGCCCAAAAAATACATACCACCTCATCAACGGGCTTCACTTGCAGCCACACAAAATGATAGTAAACAAACGCAAATTTTGGAGCGGTTGCGCAAAAACTGCAAGGGTTTGCTCAATCGTCTCTCGGAAACTAATCTGCACAAAATTGCATCCGGCATTGAGGAATTATATATGAAGAATTCTCGCAACAACATAAATGAAACGCTGGCCGCACTGCTGCGTGAGGCTTTAATTGGCCATACTATGGCCAATGAGCGCATGGTGCAGGAGCATATGGTGTTATTGGCTTATCTGCATGCGCAAGTTGGCAATGAAATTGGAGCACATTTCTTGCAAATGTTTGTAGAACAATTCGATGCATATATAAAGGAGATCTTTACCCTACCAGTGGAGGATAAGCGTTTAAATAATTTGATTTTAATACTTGCATACATATATATTTTTAAAATATATGAGCATCGCCTGCTATTGGAGATCATCGGCCGACTGTCTGATAATTTGTGCGAGAAATCAATCGAATGCCTGCTACTTATATTTCAATCTGTTGGTTTCAAGTTGCGAAAAGATGATCCACTAGCCTTCAAAGAGATGATGTTAAGTGTTCAGCGTAAAATTGCTGAAGCGCCTTTGGAGTTAAAGGAGAATTTGCGCCTAAAGTTCATGGTTGATATACTTAATGCGGTTAAGAATAACAATATCAATAAAATTCCGCAATTCGATCCTGAACTGGCGGAAAATCTGCGCAAGCGATTAAAGGCAATGCTGCGCAATGACAAATACGTTACGACACTCAATATAACTATCGACGACTTGCTCCGTGCGGATCAGGTCGGCAAGTGGTGGGTGGTTGGTTCTGCGTGGAGTGGAAATATTGATGACATCAATGCTGCTACGAAACAAAAAAAGGATGATGGTACAGTGGCTGGTCAGCGTTTTTCAGAAAAGCTCTTGAAGTTAGCAAAGCAGCAGAAAATGAATACTGAAGAGCGCCGAAATATATTTTGCATTATAATGGGCGCGGAAGACTACGTCGATGCTTTTGAGAAGATATTGCATTTGGCGTTGAAGGATCAACGCAGTATTGCTTATGTGATTATCCATTGCTGTTTGAATGAGAAACGACCCAATCCTTACTATGCCCACTTGGCGCTAAAATTCTGTCATTATAATCGCAAGTATCAATTAGCATTCCAGTTTGCTACGTGGGATCGCATTAACGATATTGACTCGTTGAATAAGATACAGGTGAAAAATCTAGCAAAATTCTTACAGCATCTTATTTTAAATGGTGGACTGCAGCTGACGGTGCTCAAAGTAGTAAACTTCCTGCAGCTAGATAAATTAAGTTTCCTCTTCATGAAGGAAATTATGGTTGGTTTATTGTTAAACGAGCGCGATAATGAAATCTATCAGGCATTTGAACGCGTTGCGAAAAACTCAAAGCTTGGGCAGTTTAAAAATAGCGTACGGTTGTTCATACAACACTTTTTGCTGCAGAATGAGAGTAAATTAAAACTGGAGGAGAAGCAAATGGCGATATTGAAGAAGCGCGCAGATTATGTAGATAGTATACTGGCCTATGTAGATTTATAGCTATAAATTTTTAATGTAATAAAATAATAATTAAAATTGTTAGCTTCGCAAAACAAAATATTAAGGCAGGTTCTGCAATTCACTTCGAGTGAATTTCAAAAAACTCAATGTGAACCCAAATTTTCAGGGATTAAAAATCACTCGGAAGTGAATTGCAGAACCTGCCTGATTTACTTTTACAATAAAATATATATCCCTCCATCTTTTTTTTCAACATAAATCTTTAAAACTATTTACATGCTAGTGCCTAGTACAATGCCTTTTCCAGTTCCTTAGTCGAAGCTCTGCAACAAATCTCGTGCACGCTGATAACGCGAAGAATCAATGATAACTTTGTGTTCTTCATCGCTGCTCTGTTCGGCGCATTGCTTGTCGAGTTCTTCAATGCATTGCTCAGCCAATTTGATTATTTGTGCCTTAGCAGCTCCTTTTGAGCCTGACAAGTACTCTAGTGCAATTGGCCACATCTCTGCGCAAATTTTTTCCTCATCAAAAACAGTTTGCTGTATAGAAATCTGTCGCAACTTTTCAAATTTCCACTCAGCACGTGAATTTTTCCATTTACGCAGGTACTCTTCGTTACGAAAACGCTCTTTGCTGATCGTTTGATCCTTCATTGATTCGATGCGCTCCTGGTGCTTTTGTTTTTTCTTTTGACGTACGGTTACGACGGCAATTACATTTTCTGGCTTTTCACTTTCCCGCAACTCTTCCAATGTGGGT